TATATTTTTACTTTGTTTTGTATGCAGGCTATGGTGAATGCATATAGGGATAATAAACTATATAGGCTATGGCTCAATGATTGGGACCTATCACTTTACAATATACACCCAAGAACCTCACTCAACACAAAAATGCTATTGATTTTTAAAAAAAGAAAAGGAAAGCCATCAATGGCTTGAAGAAACAATGGACGATTGAAGACTCATATTACCATGTCTGTCCTTTCTATTTGTGCTCTTATTTGAAATGTGTCAGGTCAGAGAAAGGAGTCTGTGTGACCATCTCTGTGGTTTGCTTACGTGTACACAATCTGCTCTCTTTTCCTCCGGCGATTAATCTAAATAAATCCTTGCAAATCCCTATCCTCACCCTCCCTGTCTGTGTTTCTGCATGTGTCCTTCAAAAATCACAACAGAAGGGAAAACGACTCAGTCAACATGTCTTTTTGTCGGATCCCTCGCTGCACATCAACACTCTCATTTCTAACCTCACATGACACCCTGATTCCATCCCCAGCTCCCCCTTGCACGGTTAACACCCTACATTGTTATGGCCTCAGTGAAACAATGGAGGTGTGACAGAGGGCGGAAGGATGTGGCTGAATGCCTCAGCATAAACCCATGGAAAAAAGCCTGAAGTCACACTTTCCGCATGTGTTCTTTGAAAAGAAACGAGCCTACAGCCAGAGTCACCCTTGATACAACTGCACTGTACAGTACATCTTGGGAACTGCAAAGGGGTGTAGGGCATATTTATGATAGGCCTTTATCATGTGCATAGGTTTTGGGATAGTAACAATAGTCAGATGTCTAGTTTTTAAGGAGGAGTCTATTCAAATAAACAGAAAACAGTTGTGGAATTACAAATGCCTTTATACTTATTTTCTTTGTGATGTGCTAATCCGTCTTGTTTTGGTTTCATAGAATAAACAAGGGGAAAGTATGTTTTTAAATCCAAATGGGGGCGCACAAGTTCCTCACAGAGAGAGCACATGCACACATCTTCCCCTTCATATATTGAGGTTTTCTATAATGTTGCTGAGAGGGTCAGATTCAGTTCATCTAAATCACTGAGACGATCGATTATACACGTTGCCATTTACTACCATGTCAAAAGGAAGGTATGCGAATAGCCACTGCAAACCTCAGAGGAAACCACAAATATGTCTGATACTGTCTAAACGACGTGTCAAAGCAGCAGTCGTCATGAAACGTTAAGCTTCCGGCAAAATCACACTAAATAAATTAATGTTACTGAGGAACCTTATTCCATTGGACCCCAAGTAAGACACCATCAAACAAAAAATGACAACAAACAATACAACTCAATTGCAGTTTATTCAAAAACATTTTCACTTAGGCTACTTCATTACCATTTAAAATGCGCGTGCTTTTATTTTGAAGGCGCTAAAGACGGACTTCCGGTAATGTTTGAGTTTGACACCCTGCTTAGCGGAATCAGAGCTGTGAAAGTGGCGGAGGCGGACATTGTTGTGGTAACAGTCCAGCCCCAGAGGATGAGCAGCGATGATGCACTTACCGTGATCGGATAAACGATGAGATTGGATTTTGGTTTATTTAGTTTTCGCTTGTTTTTTTTATCTAAAGAATGAATGGTTTTTGAAAAAGCTGCTGCACCGACAACACCACCTGGGAACGGAGTTCATTCAGCCGTGGTGAACAGAGCCCAGCCTGCTGAGACGATGCCAGCGACGTAAAATCACAACATCTGCAGCAGGGTGTGCATCCGAGGCTGCTGGATTAAGCCTCCGTGGATCAACCGGGCCTTTTTTACATTCAGCAGGCCCACACAAGAGCCCATCGGACGGCTATTGCCTTCAAAGTACTGCGAAAGGAGGTAAAATCGGGACAGTTGTGTTCCTGGAGGCCTTTGGAGCACACAGCTTGCTGTTGCGAGGATGACAGATTGACATTAATGGGGGTTTCATCCACGACCTCATTAAGACATCATCCACGAAAAACAGCCACCGGGTTCAGCACACATAAGGACTGGAGTCACAGCGCCTTGAAGGAATCCATCTAAGTAAAGAAATCACATGTTTGTGCCATGATTTGGCCTCCGGTGCTCTAGTAATTGCATAGCCTATATATCTTGAAAATATGCAGAGGAGGAGGATGTGATGGCTCTGTGTTGAGCATTGAAGCACCCAGCTACATCTCTCTTTCTACAGATTCTCAGGTAGCCTACAATTTAGGTGTAGATTTTTTTTAATAGAAAATGGGTAGCGAAGGGGAGATAATAAACAGAGAACTGTCAAAGATGTCTGACGACGATTTGCTGGCGTGCTCCAAAGAGGAGCTGGTGAGCCGGCTGCGTAAAGAGGAGACGGAGAAAATATCAGCCCTCATTCAGCGTGGACGGCTGATAAAAGAGGTCAATAAACAGCTTCAGGGACACCTCATTGAAATCAGGGAACTGAAAGTCATCAATCAGCGCCTGCAGGAGGAAAACGTGGAGCTGCGGGATCTGTGCTGCTTCCTGGACGACGACCGGCTCAAAGTGAAGAAGCTGTCCAGGGAATGGCAGCTGTTCGGGCATCACGCAGCCAAAGTGATGCGGGAGGATCTGGGCGGTTACTTGAAAAAGCTGGCCGACCTGGAGCGTATGCAGGACGGGCTGGTGAAGGAGAATTTGGACCTGAAGGAGCTGTGCCTGGTTCTGGAGGAGGAGTGTGTCAGCAGGAGTGACTCCAGCCCCGGGGGGTCCAGTGAGCTCAACCTGCCCTGCATGGTGGTCCGGGACCTGGGGGACGGGTCCTCCAGCACCGGCAGCGTGGGGAGCCCGGACCAGCTGCACCTGGTGTGCTCTCCTGATGACTGACGCCAGGTTCATGTCAAATAAGGAAATCGTAGGGGTGATTAATGGAGACACAGACGCTTTGTCAGACAATACAAATCAATTTGGTGCAAATCAAGCATTAGGGCTTTCTGAATGCTGCAACGACGTGTGTGCCACTAGGTTTTCACTTGACAAATAATCTACCACTATGAACTATTTCAGGACTTTACAAAGACAATGACTAGATGTTTTCCAGATGATAGTGTATCTACATTTTACAGTATTTTTTTTCTAATGACTCCTCTGTTTTGGGGAAATTCTCCTTTTTCAGTGGTCTGTTGTCTAAAAAAAGAAAAAAAGAAATGGGACCAAAAAAGTGGGTCACATACAATTATCTCATGCACTGGAATAGCCTACACTGGTAGAAGCCTTTTTTCTATTGCACTGGACAGCGTTACAATGGATCTTTAAATCACTGATCTAAAGAGACATTTCAATCCAGTTTTGAGCCATATTTAGTCCACTGAATTCCAATAGCACTGAAAAAGATGAGTTGTGATAAAAGGAACAAAAAGAAACTATTTGATATTTGCTTTTGCTAGATGCCCAATAATGTGTAATATTTGATGCACTCTCTTCCTCAGGACAGGATTGGAGTGTCATATGTGCATGATGATTGTCACAATGTGTACAGGCCTGTTAACCAGTCTGATGTGAAGGCCCTTCAGGTTTCATGTGGGTGGGGCTGCTGTGCATAAGGATCGAGAGCCTGGGCAGAGCCAGCACACGGGTCATAACGTTTAGGATCAGACATGATAGATGTCCTTGGACCTCACTCAGAGCTGAAGCGAACAAGTTCTGTCACTTTTTTAAAAATCCAACTGGAAACTCTTTGTATCAAACTGGAAGGTCTACAACTTTTAAGGATTTGTATTCTATTCAAGCTGTTTAAATCCACTTGTATTACATTTTTTATTACATTGTTTTCAATGCTCAATTAGCATATCACAGAGTTTGTTTAAGTTGGCGACAGTCAGCTTTGTCTTCTGTATCTCATGCCTTGTATTTACCCTGTAACATTATGGATAGTCTTAACTTTGACCCTTCTTTATCTTGATTTATCTGTATTAACTTGCATAACTAACCGATTTCAGTTAAATCATAGATAATGCACATGGATTAGAAAAGATTTATTTTGTCGTTAGCTGTTTTATTGGTGGGCTATGCTCGTAGTGCATTGAAGAGCTTTAAATACAGTGGGTATGATGACACTTCGGCTGTTCTGACCTTTCTTTGTGCGTTTGACTTTGCAGAAACCAGCATTTACACATGTACACATGACACAGAAACAAAGGATTGATTTCTGCACTTGTTTTGACCTTCATGTCTAAATGACTGCGCGTGATTGATGTTCCAGCTATGTCACACATACTGACTTTATGGATGTTCATCAGTTTTATTTTTGGATCCCTATTTGCACATTCTGGAGGGCTGAAGAGGGCAGTAATGCTTTCTGCCACTTAGTGATGCACGAAAGTCCTTTGACGGCAGCGCACATGCTGATTTCTTCATGCTTTATAGTGCTCTCACTCTGACTCTCGTTCCATCTCGTTTTTCTCTCTAACCCCATTTTAGTAGAGCAATCCAATGCCCTCTGAGCCATGTATGTATTAGCATGATATTCACTTCATTTTGGGAAACAGAACACAGTGTTCACATTTTCAGTGTAATTTGCAGCCAGCTAATGCTTTTATCAAGTGTCAGTAAAAGAGTTGTGATTGTTTTCATCATATATTGTTTCCCTCATTTGCATTTTCATGTAAAATGCAAAACACAGTCAAAAAAAGAGAAAGAAAATTGCAATTATAATTTGTATTCTGACAAGCATTCCTTACCCCAAGACAGCTGCAAACCCTCACGTTTGAAAAGCTTCAACCAACGAACATTACTAATTCATTTCAAGTTAAATGCAAAAGGATCTTCTTTCAATTGACTATAAAGGAATTAAATACTCATAAGTCCAAAAGTGTTGCTGTTCCTGTTTAGGTTAAACTGTGTCTTGGTGTTCACAAAGTGTACAAATCTTCTTTACACTTTAAATGTTTCATTCTTAATTTAATTTGATGAATTGGTTGTTTTTAAAATCTCAGGATATTCACATTCTTCGTTTGGTTGTAAATAATAACACCATCACAAATTGTACACATGCTAGCTCTTTATTGTCTGTGCAGTATTACTACTTTGCGAAAAATAAAAGTAAGGCACTGCCAAACCAAACAGATCAGAGACAACAAAAACATTTACAAATATATATATATATATTACACTCTGGAAATATAAATATGTGATTATAAAATCTATATTAACTCCTACGGCCCAGCCTTAGTGGTCAATCGTTTGCATAGACAATATTAGGATTTATTAGAGGACTCGTACAAAAATAAGGAACCTTGTTTATAAGTAGTCTATTTCCCTAGCTGAGGACGTTTATAAAGTGTTACAAAACATGATGTAACAATGTAAAAAAGGCATTAAATTCAACATTTACTGTAATATCACAATTATTATATTACTAGTTTGAGTTATAGTTATTTCTCTAGAAAAGCTTGTATTATAAATTCTGCATGCAATGCTTTGCTAATAAACTTCAAACATGTTCACTCTACATAATAGCTTTTAAAATGAAAGGTAAAAGACTCTATATTTGTATCAATACAAAAAAATAGTAACATTTTTATCAAAATCGGGCCTCTAATTGGCATATCATCCAAGTAAAGATCTACTTTCTGAAATAAGACATGAAGCTCATTTTGAAATGCTGAACACAATCATCGTTTTCATTTCACACCCCCAGAGATCCCTCCTCTCACACATTAGTGTTTTGTCAGGGTGCTGCGGGCTTTGATCACAGCGTGAGGATGGTCGGGGAGTGCAGGGAGTGATCCGATTGGTCTCCACTGCTGCTGCTGCGGCGGTGGGCTATCCCGCAGGGCTGTGGGACCTGAGAGTGGTGGATGTTTCCGTGATGGGAGGAAGCATGGGACGTGGTGGAGGCGCTGGTGTCCAAAGAGGCAGAGGGGTAGGTGAAAATCATACCAGCTGTGAAGGGCGTGAGGGAGGGAGTGGATGCGAGAACCGGAGTGTGGAGAGACTCTGATTCAGAGGCAGCAGACGAGGCAGCCGCTGTTTCACGTTTGGTTGGGATGGTTATCCTCGGTTTAGGCTTCTCTACTTTTGTTGGCTGTCTGGTTGAGGGTCCGGGTCTGCTGAAGTCATGTGGCTCCAGTTTGATGCCTCCCAAAGCAGAAATGGATGGATTTGGGTCCGAATCTGAATCCGATCCCTCTATTTTACAAATGGGACGGTGAGCTTCCAGGACCAGCTCAAGCTTGTCCTTCTCCTTTTCTAATTCTGCTATTTCCTTCTGTAACTTTGACTTTTCATCTTCCAGTATGTCAGTCTCCTACACCAGGGGGAAAGCAGAACAAGAGAAACACATAAGTAATTTCTCTCATGTGTCTTTGAGACAATACATTATATTTAAAGCATTAATGTCATAACATGTTTACAATGTGCACTCACATTTTGCAGTGTGTCTGTTAGCTCCCGACGGCGATTGCGACATTTTGCTGCTGCCATCTTATTCCGCTCCCTTCTTATTCTACGTCTCTCCATCTCTTCTTGGGATAGCTTTAATGAGAAAGACAAAAACAAAGTTTAAGACAAGATACCCCAGACAAAAACATTGTTTTAATGCACAACTCAGTGGCTAAAGTTATTATTATACTATGTTCAGACTAGTTAGACACTACTTGGGACACATTCTCTATCTGCATCTGTAGATGTATTTTAAATATACCAAAACTAAACATTAGATTAGGTCTCATTTGCATTGCAGAAACGTTGTAATAAAAAACAATTGTGTTGATGTAGGTTATGAAATTGGGAATGTTTATGGTGAAATCCATGAGTTCAAATGTTTCACCATTTGCAAAAGGGGTGTCTTTCCTAAAAATACAGAAAATAAGTTAACCTAATGCAGTAGCGATATTTTCTAAATCCCTTTAATGTCTAACATTTGATTGTGAAACCTTCTTGCTGTGGGCAACATACACAACATTTGAAGTGTAAAGCCAGACATGTTAAAGTACATGACACAGGAGAAATACTACCACCATGTGCGTGCTCTGAGTCATCACAGCCATGGCAGCTAAATGATTTTTGAAATGTCTGAGCTTTTGTGCCTTTTGTAACACCCAAACTCTGACTACATCCAGCGCCCTCATGAATAATTGCTGTTGATCCAATATTTCCCGGGCTTTCATTGGTGATGAGTCATGCTCAGTCTCTAGCGGTGACTCAGGTGTGAGTCACTGAACATGACTTGCCCCTGTGAGTCACATGACAAGTCTACTTCCTGTACCATAGAATTACAACTTCAGGGAGAAAAAAACTGTGATGTGTGCCAACATGTGCCTGAGGAAACTACAGAAACTACACTTTGCGGAACAGGGTGATGGTTCTAAAGGTTAAAACTGGGTCACTTTAACATCTATGGTAACTTGTTTTTTTATATACTTGACATTGCTCTCCTGCCAAAAGACTAATCTTTGCAAACAGTGTGTCACATGTGATCATTTTTACTGAATCAACATTGAGTCAAAGTAAACACCATCAAAGAACATAACAATGTGTTTTCCTCCTGGGAGAAAATTATCCTTTTTTTTAATATATTAAGTAACCTCTCTACATAATCTTGTCCTTACTCTATTGCTAAATGTATTTATCGGATGTGTAAGTCAAAAGGAAATGACACATAGAGGGTATTACACACTAGTTACACAAATGATTCTGCTCCTCCACACCCCTTACGAACAGCCCCCCCAATAGGGAAAATATGACTCCCAAGAGATCTAAGTTAATACCTATCACTATTTCTCAACAGTAGAAACACACACAATCCACACTAACCAGTGTCTGTATCAGTGTTTGTATGTTCATAACGTTTCAGATTCATTAAGAAGTACTTTCTTACATGCTGGTCATTCCTGTGCCTTGTCGAAGCAGTAGTGTGTGCAGCAGCTCTTATGACACCTGGTCGGAGGAAAATGGGGGTGGTGGAGCCAGAGGCCGTGCCCCAGAGAGGGTTGGGTAGGGAGGAACTGGAGATCTTGAAGGGCCCGGCGGATGCAGGATTGAGGGCTGGACCAACCACTGGAGGTCCTGGTTGGTTGTGATGGCATTGAGGCTTGGTACAAATGGACTGCTCCCAGCCATTGTATACTTCTGGGTAAAATAGGTTGAAAAGACAAACACAAAATAGGTTGAAAAGACAGACATTAATAAAGTTAATTTAAGATGGGATCGATTACAAAACACAAAACAATTAAAGTAAACCATTAATGTTGAAAATAATTAAGATCCTTAATATTGAGTTTGACTAATTCCAATATGATAAGTGGTGGAAGAAGTTTTAAAGTAGAAATATCTCACAAATAACATTTCTGAATTTAAATGATTACATAAGTAAAAAACTTCTAAAAAGTATAACAACAAATTCCTGGTAGCCTATCAAAAGTAAATGTAATGGATTCTTATGCAGAATCCAAAGTGTTATTGTACTAATGGCTATCATTCAGTTGTAATCACATTGAATGAGTATATATTTAAAGTATCTATCTATCTATCTATTTGTATCTTGTAGATTGTCGAGCCAACTTAGTTTGTATACTGGGTTAGTAGTGTAGTACTGCATCATATCATTGTTTATCATATGTCCAAAGTACAACATTTCCCCTCTGAGATAGTGGAATAGATGTAAACTACAATAAAGAATACAATTTAAATGCTCAAGCAAAATAAAAATGAAAAATCAGGAGTGTTACATTCCTATTCCTACTGGGTATAATGCCTGTATTCTACTGCACAAAACACATATATATATATATATATATATATATATATATATGGTAGCTTGGTATTTACAATTTAAACAACTTTTTGTTACTTTTACAAGAAAGTTAATATTGTGTTTTACCGATTTGACCACTGACTCTGTGATAACCTATGGTCTAGTTAATTGAAAGTTCACCAACCTGCTCCTGCTGTGTGTTGCTGGTGCTTCCCTGGGAGTGAGACCCAGAGGAGCTGCCAGTGTACGCCGGGTTTCCTCTCCCTTGATTCCCAAAGTTTTGATACATCCTTTCTGTTTAAATGAAAAGAAACTAGCTCCCGGCTGTGGATATAAAGCCTTTACCTCTCACGAAAAGTACTTTCGGGATGATTCTCGTGTGTCAATTCAAACTCTGGGCAAGCCCACCTTATTGCGGTAAATCGGTAGAGTCCAAACAGGCACGTCTTCAAGGGGGTACAAGGAAGAAAATATCACCTTGCTTTTTTTCAAATCGCCTTAAAACCTCTGAAAACGACTTTCAGTACGTCCTCCCGGAGTTAGTCATATATTTTTAACCAAAAGTCTGGGAATGATTGTGAGGTTGTAAACTCTTAAAGCGGCACTGTATGTTCACCACGCCCCTCCGTAGTTACGGGAAATAGTGCTGTCTGGAACCTCGCACGAATCAAACCACGTGCCGTGACGTAATTGACCATATATGGTGAGAGTTTCCTCCACGCGGGATTCCTCACAGAAACCACTTCTGATGCATTGGTTGAAATACTACTGCAATTTCCTACAGCAGTGGAAGTACTGTCGATTACGTAATAATTAATTTACTCTAACGTTAAATATTTGAATAAAAGGTGATATAAAAAGGATTGTTATATAAAAAATTGAACACTGTCACTTTATTATTACATCTATACATTTAAGTACAGATCTGCCAGCAATTGTACATTTAGGAATATTATTATGTTCCAGAGAGAGGTGTATATTTACCTTTATGATTGTTACTGAGGTTGCAGTAAGTGTTCTGAATTATACTGAAATAAAATTCTTCTCTCCATCATGTCATTCTGAAAATATTGTCGTCTATCACATTACCACTAAAAACTACAACCAATCAATCATTAAAATATAATATACTGTATTGCTTTCCGGCCATGTCAACCCAAACGTATCACTAGTATCTGTGTAAAGGCAGTGACTGACTAGTTTTCATTTTCAAATAGTTTTCAGAAATTATAAATATCTTGATTATGATGGGCTACAATAAATGAATTAAATAACCAATTAGTTAATAGCAGACTTTACCAATTACTTACGTAAGCATGAAATTGTGGACTTTAATATGTTATACCAGTACAAATACTTTTACATAACAAAGAGCTAATTCCACTATTTGTCGACTGTATAACTGTCAGGTCTGATAATTACATGTGACTTGTTAGACGCTTTTATCCAAAGCGACTTACATTACATTACATTACATTACATTGCATTTAGCTGACGCTTTTGTCCAAAGCGACTTACAATAAGTACATTAGACCAGGAAGACACAACCTTGAAGAAAACAGAATCATATAAGTATATCAGGTTTCATAGAGCCAAACATTTCAAGTGCTACTCAACTGGCTTTAGGTAATCCAGTCCTTTATTGGTATAAAAGTGCTTCGTTAATAGTTCTAACGCTCGAAGTGGAGTCGAAAGAGATGAGTTTTCAGTTTGCGCCGGAAGATGTGCAAGCTATCTGCCGTCCTGATGTCAATGGGGAGCTCATTCCACCATCTTGGAGCCAGGATAGCAAACCCACGTGTTTTCGCCGATGGGAACTTGGGTCCCCCTCGCAGCGAGGGCGCAACGAGTCGTTTGGCTGATGCAGAGCGTAGTGCATGCGCTGGGGTGTACGGTTTAACCATGTCCTGGATGTAGGAAGGGCCAGATCCATTTGCAGCACGGTAAGCAAGTACCAGTGTCTTGAAGTGGATTCTAGCAGTTACCGGAAGCCAGTGAAGGGAGCGGAGGAGCGGAGTGGTGTGGGAGAATTTAGGAAGGTTGAAAACCAGACGAGCCGCTGCATTCTGGATGAGCTGCAGAGGTCGGATGGCACATGCAGGTAGACCAGCCAGGAGGGAGTTGCAGTAGTCTAGGCGTGAGATGACGAGAGCCTGGACCAGAACCTGAGTCGCTTTCTGAGTCAGCTGGGGACGTATCTTCCTGATGTTGTAAAGCGTGTATCTGCAGCAGCGGGTTGTAGCAGCGATGTTTGCAGTGAAGGACAGGTTGTTATCTAGAGTCACACCCAGATTCCTTGCAGTCTGAGTCGGGGGAAACAACTGAGGTGCCGATGTTGATTGTCAGGTCAAGAGTTGGACAATCTTTTCCCGGGAGGAAGAGCAGCTCAGTCTTGTCAAGGTTGAGCTTGAGGTGGTGAGCAGACATCCACTGAGAGATGTCAGCTAGACAAGCAGAGATGCGTGCGACGACCTGGGTCTCTGAGCGGGGAAAGGACAGAATTAATTGGGTGTCGTCAGCGTAGCAGTGGTAAGAAAAACCATGCGGGCTAATGACTGATCCGAGCGAGTTTGTGTACAAGGAGAAGAGGAGGGGACCAAGAACAGAGCCCTGAGGGACCCCCGTAGTTAATTGACAAGGGTCGGACTCAGACCCTCTCCAAGTCACCCTGTAGGTACGGTCTTTCAGGTATGAGGTGAGGAGGGAAAGTGCAGAGCCAGAAACTCCAAGTTTTTGGAGAGTGCGAAGGAGGATCTGATGAACTTACATACTCAATACTGTGGGAAATCCCCACAGGAGCAATTTGGGGTGAAGTGTCTTGCCCAGGGACACAACGACATGCTGACTGCAGTGGAGTTTGAACCTGTGCGCCCCCTGATCCGAACACCAACGCACAGCGCCACACGCCTCCATAATAGTTAAAACTCTTATTATGAGACAGCAGAAAGAAAAAAAATGCTAACATTTTATCTTAAATATGAACTTTAAGATTACATATCTGCTCCAGGATCAGTTATGAAACGGATCATAAAGTAGGGATAAAGCTAGAAGCATGAGCCTAATGGCGGTGAGGTCTTAGGTCTTTGGTAGTCACTTTCACTACAAAAACCACATCAACACACAAGCATGCCTGTGGAGATGAGTCAGTGCATCGCCACAGTGCTTCTCAATTAATTCACCATCCGTTTCAACAGATGTTTTACTATCAAGCACAAAATAGACCAGATTCAAAAGCTGCATGCTGTAGATTCAGTAAGCTTAGGCTGTCACAGCAGCTGCTGACCTTGCAGTCCCCAAGGACAGAGTTCCCGGCAAAGGCTGATTTCTCCTCACTGCTGATACACCAGTGTCTCACATTACTCCTAATTCTACTTATATACTGTAGGAATAAGAAGTGTGGAATATTAATGTTTTTTTAAAAGAGTCACTAAAGATAATTGCAAAGACGGTTTGTGATAATTTTTTTATGTGGGAAAAGGAGAAAAATGTTGTATATTACTAATCCTCATCTACAGAGAAGTTAACACGTTGAATCGTGGCCTTCTGTCTCTTCATAACTTATTAATGAGGATAGATACAATGGAGTTAAACTGAAACTGCCGCGAGCATGACATTGAATAAAGCATGCCTGTTGCTCATTGGTCCATTTCACTGCCGAGTTTTAAATTTCACATTTCAACAATATTTCACCCTGTGATAATGAGGACAAATATACAGGATGTTTTATTGTCAATGTGGTTGGTGGTATCATCGGAAGAGATATGGGGTAAAGGTGAGAGTCTGATGACTAAAGCTTCAGGAATGCTATGAGGCCAAACAGGCTGTGTCTCTAATTGTGTCCCAACATGTCGGTCAACTTTTTTCTCCTGATTGCAGCTTCATTCATCCACCAGCTGTTCCTTTATCTCTTTTTTTATTAGATAATGTCTGCGCATCAGAATATTTTTGAATTTTGCATATTACATGTTAGCATATGAGTGTTTTTTTTTTGTTTCACTCCATGTTTTCCCTACAAAAGTTAACCATTTTCTGGAGGGGAAAAATAAAGTTTAGATTCCAATACCATTCACTCATCCTAAAAAAACTCCCCCACACCCACCCACACATCCCACACACAAACATGCCTCACAAAGCATTAAACATCCTCATGCCACACACTTTTTTTATTTGGTTTAGTGGGTGTTAAATTCACACCTTAATTGTTTTGCTGTGACTATACAGTGCATATTGTTACATGCCTAAACAAAGTATGTAAAGTTTACTGGTAGTAAAATAAATGTCGATTCAAATCTATAAAAGTGGTAATTGTATTTAAATAATGTAATTAAAATACTGTAAAACGGTATGGGAAATATTTTATAACATATTATATATTGTCAGCTTGGCATTGAAATAGTATTGTATAGAAAAAAAGTATAGATGCATAGTAAAATGTACTAAGTAATAATAGCAACAACTTGTTCTGAAGTGGCCAACATGAAAGTAGTGGAATTGTGGCTGGTCCAGATGGAGTTAATTTAACTGCATTATTTGACTACTGTTTAGTATTTTTACGTTTAATTAACTTGTTTTAAATGTTCAAATAATGAAGCATAGGTACTGTATAAAGGTGCTAAAAATGAAAATAATCAAACTACAAGTATCTCAAAGTATCTGAGCCACCACCGCCCAACGACAGATGATAAGATTTAAGTTCCATATTCAACTCAGGATTGTAGTGTACTGGAAGTATACATTTGCAGGAATACTGACAGTTCATTAAGAACAAGTTATTTGCCACTACTGAGAATGTAATAAATCAGTTTCCCTCTAAAATTCTAAATGCAACCAACAAACAGATGATAATGGAAAAGAAAATAGTAAGATCAAAAATGATTTACACAAGGAAGTCTTAGCAGTACCTGCTGTGTGTATTTGGACAGCTGTGTACTTGTATACTTACATGGTTGTCTGCCACGCAGGCACACTGAATTCAGCCAACCGCAGTGGATGGGTGGGATCAGTCCGGTTGTAGCCACGTAGCTAGCTAACAACGTTAGCTGTGCAGGTAAGCTGGGCTCTTCTGCTCCTTATTTACTTAATAGTCGTAAACATTATCCATCAGTCACGCAGTGTGTACCTTTAAAATACTGATGTTATATGTGTAATCCAACTGGGCGGCTTCATCGAGTGTTGGTTGAAAATATGATGTTGTTAACTTAGCTTGCCTGGCTATGTAGATAGCAGTAACTGTTAGCATTAACTGTTAGCATTAACTGTTAGCATTAACTGTTAGCTACCATTGAATAAGTTTACACGTAGTTAGGTTAGCTGTTGGTATTAACGTGAGCAAAGCTAACATCTTACTTGTATCATGTATTGAATGAAATGTTTTAATGTAAGTTGTGGTATAACATCACAGTGCTTCTCTAAGATGGCAAAAATGACTTAAATTAGCTGAGATGTAGCTAATGTGTGAATGTTTTTATTTTAAGCTAACGTCAGCAAACGTCAACATGGACTTGCCACAACAGGGGTACCGAGCAAGTAAGTGGAACCTTCATGAATCACCGTATTACTCAGAGTTAACGTTTTTGTGAAAAATTTGACAAATATCCGTCCATGGTGTCTACTTCCTATTTTCTTACCAACTACAGCTAGACACACTGAGCTTAAGTTAATCTCTTCCTGCTTTAGGTTTATTATAGTTCACCTTAATTGATCTACGTGGTTTGGAAAATATATTAGAAAGACCAGTCCAATGCATTACAATTCAAGCATCACAATGACAGCCTCTACAACTGTACATGTAGTTGAATCAACAATAGGTACACAAACTGAAAATCACAACTTTTTGAATAGGATTTGTTTCAGGAACTTCTCATTATCTTGCTCATCACTCATATTCATCTATTATATGAATAAATTAAACAATTTGAGTTCAGGTTATTGTTGATATTGTGGATAATAAGCTGGTATAAATACATGAATATCACCAAGATTTGATACTTATTAAATACCCTCTTTGTAATCCGTTGTGTTTTTCCTTTCCACAGCTAAACCGAGAGCTCGTGCACCCCCCCCCACAGCAGACTCTGTGCTGTTTGATGACACCAGCTCTGCAGCACCAGCAATGAACAGTCAAGGATACTACACTCCTGGGTACAATATGGCAGGACCCCAAAATGACATGCAAGGGGGTGCTGGGCCGAACAACATGTTTGCTGACCCGATGGCCAACGCTGCAATGATGTACGGCTCCTCTTTAGCAAACACAGGAAAAGATATGGTGAACAAGGAGGTGAGCAAAACAAGGATATTGATTTCTACTTTTATGGGGTTTTAACTCAGTAACCTATAAATAAGGTAAAGTCCTAGATTTGATAAATAATAGACTTCTACCACAAAAATATTTTCTTGGGTGATTCAATCTCAAGTTGACAGTTTTAATACAGGTGTCGATGAACCACAAATACATAATGTGATAAAATAATAGGTCTAAACGGGTGCAAAGTCAACGTTTTCCTCCATGAAGGTGTTCTTGTGCCATTTTATTTAATTTATGTCCAAAAAGGTAACAAGTTGGTCAATTAAAGTTATTCAACATAGAACCACATTGATGTGTACTTTCATTTACACTGTTGAACCGCTCAAATCAATTGTCCAAAAATGACAACACTATTATAATATAAGTGCAGCCTCGTCTTTATTTGCAGCTGTGCAGAAATACTGGGTTTAAACATAATTACTAAGGGGAGTCATTGTAAGTGGACAGGTCTTTCAATAAAGCAGACACATTTCTGGTTTGTCTTTTAATAAAGAGAAACCGTCTGTGAAGTAACTCACCGAAGAAAAAGGGTAGGTCCTCACAAAGTAAATATTGCATGTGGAAAGCAGTTTAATTAAACTGATGTTGATCTGCCGGATTAGTAACTCTACATAGACTGGGTGTTGCACAGTGCTAAGGGCGGTCAAAGCCTCCTTTTTAAAGAATACCATGTAATACCAACTGTATTTATTAACTTTCGCAGACTTTCACTCTTCATCTGCTAAGTTAATGTTTGCCCTTCCTTTGCCTTTCAGATCAGCAAGTTCATGTCTGTGAACAAGCTGAAATACTTCTTTGCCGTCGACACCAGATATGTGTTGAAGAAACTTATGATCCTCATGTTCCCCTACACACATCAGGTAATCACAGCCATTCAGACTTTGTCCTACAGCATTCAGGACGACACAAAACATTTAATATCGTACATAGCTGCTTGATAATTTTGCCTGGTATCATATTTACACCCACATACTGTATCTCATTGAAACCATGCAAACAAGATAATCAGCCACTTAATCACCACTCCAACTTCATTTATACATCATGATGGCGTGATTGTCAGGGTGGGAAAGTGCACTAAGCTCAGTTAGTTCCCACACACTTGAACTTATTGAGATTGTTAATCAAGTCCCAAACAATCTGTGCCCTGATAATGACTGAACTACACAGACCTCGTAAAGCAAGGGTCACAAAAGGCCATACATATACGTACACATATGTACAGACAAGAATAATTACGATAATCATTTAAAAATATAACAGACAAAGATGGCTCAAGTCAAATTATATCTAAAAATGTCCATAACACATACTTGTGTATCATGTGAACTGTTAATATAAAATAAAAAATGTGACATATCTATTTCCAGTTTCCCTTCTTATCTTCTTCTTCATTATTTGGTTTTAAGATGCCATATTTTCTTTCAAGAGCATATTTTAAGTGTTAAGTGTTAATGTGTGCTTTTATCAATCTTCTAGGACTGCTGTTAGTCCTAATTTATCATTGAGCTTTAATATTGTTTGAATTAACTTCCATAAAGTTATTCTCTAGTTTCCATTTTATTGTTTAATACAAACTACGTTTTTCCATCTTGTAGACCCTTCAGATTAAAGAGCTTTACTGACGACAGCCTCTTCTGTATTTGTGTTCTTGTTAGGATTGGGAAGTGCGTTACCATCGGGACACGCCACTGCCTCCACGACAGGATGTGAACGCACCAGATCTCTACATACCAAGTACGTTTTCTATAAATACAAAAAATATCAGTGACAGAGGATTTTCTGATGCCTGTATATAGTGCATTAACTGTGCTTTGTCTTTTAGCGATGGCTTTCATTACCTACATTTTACTTGCTGGAATGGCCCTCGGCATTCAAAAACGGTAAGTTATTTTTCCATATTTAATTTTCTTTATGACTTACAGTAAATATGTATTTAAAGTTTAATAAGAATTGTCTCTGTGTGAAGGTTCAGTCCCGAGGTTCTTGGTCTGTGTGCCAGCACCGCCCTCGTGTGGGTCATCATCGAGGTGTTGGTGATGCTGTTGAGTTTGTACCTGCTGACGGTGCACAGCGACCTGTCAACATTTGATCTCATCGCCTACAGTGGATACAAATATGTCGGGTAAATATTGTGTTATATTTAAGATGCTTATGATTATATTTTACAAAGCAAGTAAGTGTAAGGGTTCGTTTTTTTACCAAAGCTCCAACTTATTGTGTAATAAAACATTTCAAATGCTTCATAAATTCATATTAACTCACTTTTTTGTAATGCTTCCCCTCTAGGATGATCTTCACAGTGTTGTGTGGCTTACTGTTTGGCAGCGATGGTTACTATGTGGCCCTTGCCTGGTCCTCTTGTGCCCTTATGTTCTTCCTTGTAAGTATTAACAACTATATTTCCAATCTTAAGGTTTTTTTCCTAATCAGAAAACAAAATACATTTGAATACTTTCAGCTTATTACTTTAAACTGAACATGCATGATAAAGCGTTTACCAAATCCTGTGTATCTGGTTTTGATGATCAAAATATTAAATATACTAATATGTTAAAGATACACTGTGATATCTCATTGTTTAGCATTTTTATAAAATCATAATCTTTTTGATGCCTAACAGTGTAAGTTAGCTTGTTACAGCAGCTCAGGAATAAAAAAAACAAAGGGAAAAAAAGTTTAAAACAAGACAAAAATACGAATACAATATATAAAACATTAACACAGCTTTATACATATTCAAACTGTAAACAACTTTAAACCTTTACAGATATGACATATACCTGTTTACAGTAGACCTGGCCCATGGTGATACCTGAAGTGTAGCCTTAAATATTTTTCTGTCTTCGCAGGTTCGATCTCTGAAAATGAAGATCATTCCCTCCACGGACTCCATGGGAACCGGATCAAGTGCCAAACCTCAATTCCGTCTTTACATCACTGTAGTGATTGCAGTGTTTCAGCCCATCATTATATATTGGTTAACCTCTCACTTGGTCAGGTGACCGTGAAGCATTTCTTCACCTGAAATCCAAGTGTATTGGACCCAAAACATTTGGTTGTTGAGTGTTTGTACTCCTGCCTTTATACACTCTTTTGTTGGTAAACTCAAAACAAATGTAGATGGTGTTGAACTGCAGTGTGTGTTGAGCTTGTCAGATAGACCTGTTGATTAATGAAAAGGCTTCATTGATTTAACCACAAAGTGTGACACAGAAAATGTCTCAGTGAACGTTGTTTTTCTCCATGAGTAACTCTGACAAATGCTTATTTTTGGCCATCTAACTTTGAAAACAAAGGCTTTCATTGTGAGATGTGTTTAATCTCAACTCAAATTCAGTTCTAATTCCCTTTTATAAAATGTCCCATGATTTACAGTATTTTCACGCAACGATAAACTCACCCCACAGACATAAAACTCACATTGCACACATGAGTCAAGTACCATTTTCTGGTATGGTGATGTTGCTGCATTATCTTTCTTGTAAGTCCTGAATTTTATTTAAATACATTTGAAAAAGCATGACAATGTTTGGATTTTTCTAGAAAAAATAAATATATTAAGCTTTGTGTATTCGATTTGAAAAGTTTCTAAAGCTAGTTCTTCTGTATTTTTTTGCATCTGTTTTATTCATGTTCAAATGAATGTCTTTGGGTTTTGTGCTGACAAAACAAAGACATCTAAAAACATCTCGTTGGACTTAGAGAAACTGGAATGAACAGAAAGGATTAGGGCAACATGTGAATTATTTCTGTTGTGAGAACAACTTCCGACTTCATCTACAAATGTACATTTTCACTGTTTTCTGATATTGTATAGACCAAACAGTTAATGTAAAAAACAATAATCGGAAGAATGTAAACGATCAATAGGTGTTGCTCCTGCTGCATTATGACCACTTGATGGTGGTGGACGTGAGTTGCGGGTGGACGTGAGTTGCGGGAGCGCGCACGACAACGCGCTCAGTGCAAAGCGTCCTTTCGGTTTCCATGGAGACCCCAGACGGCAACAGAACAAGGAGGGAGAGTGTCCGAGTCCAGTTTTAAACACCACAACTTCACCTTTAACTCTTCAAAGGCTTTGTTTTTTTTAACACTCAAGGAGAAGTGTTCTGCCAAGGTCATCGTTATTGAAAATTGGTGAGTAACTAGTTAATAATATGCATTTTGAACCACTAGGTAACATCACCTGAGGGGAAAAAGGCGGCTTTCTTGTCTATATGAAACTTTATATTGTTCCGCCATTTGCCTCCTGAACTGCATTGTCGAGCCATGTGGCTGGCATCACATATAACCCTTCAGAGCATTATAGATGAGTTTTTACACGGCAATTATTGTGTTAAACACACTAAATCAACGTTAGCGTACTTTGAATTAGAGTAACAATTACTCTCTAATAGACATGCACCTGTTCACCGGACAGGTTTTGTGCCTATAAGACAAAGGTACCTGACCGTGAGAGTGCTAGAAGAGTGTGAACTTTGCACGTTTAGAAGATGCTCATCGGAGGGGAACGGATAGCTAACATTTAACTGAAACATTTTTCCTTTTTTCCATCAGTTTTGTTGGACCTTCCTGAATTATTGTTTTTGTTTTGAAAGGTAATTTTTTGGGTTTGGTGAAAGTCAAATGCTTTGCATAACCTTAATGATTTGTAATGTCGGCTTTATTAATACATCGGGCTGGAGTTGACGTGAATCCTTAATGCAAAGTTACTTACTTTTAGATAAATAATGAATGGATTTAAGTAGCCTACATATCAGAGTACAATAGTAGGACTAATAGTAGTCCTAGTAGTAGTAGTCATAGGAAGCAAATATTCATTTAGTTTGGTCCTTATTGACTATTTAACAGTTTGTACAAACTGTGAAGTCCACTGAGACAAATGTAACATTTGGGATATTGGGCTATATAAATAGACATTGATTGATTGATTACCCAAAAGGCAAAATATGTTTATAGAAAAAACATTAGGGATACTGAATAAGATACAAGTGCAGCTCTTAGAGCCAACTTTTAATCCTGTTTTCATGAAAACAATTTTGCAGCAGTAACTGATTCATTTATCTCGTTTCTTCCAGCAGCTGAATGATTCTGGATGTTTTCTCCTGGAAGAGAGATGGAGAATAGCTCTCACTTGCTGTCGCCCTCGTCACCATGTACTTCTACTTTTGGAGGGTCCCTGCCTTTCTCGTCTTCACCGCAGCAGACCGGCTGCTCTAATGGTCGTCTTTCCCTCCCACTTTCACCCATTTCTTTCCCCCCGTCCCCTTCCTCACTTTCTCCAGCAACAGCAGAGTCTCTCCACTCTTTCTCGCCTCTTTCACACTGCACAGCGTCTCAGGGCCTTGAAGGACAAAACATACAGTGCTTCAGCACAGCGACTGTCCCTGACCAGGACGACCTGACCTGCCTCAACTGGCTGCATCAGAGGGGCAACCTGCTCCCGCTGCAGCCCCTTCCCAAAATCACAACGCTGCCTCAGCTTGAGTCCTTCACACCTACCCAACCTCTTTCACCTGCCATGTCCAAACCACCGTACTCCTTCAGTAGTCTGATTTTCATGGCGATAGAAGACTCACCTGACAAGAGGCTTCCAGTTAAGGACATTTACGATTGGATAGTGAACAATTTCCCCTACTACAGGACGGCCACCGGAGGCTGGAGGAACTCTGTCAGACACAACCTGTCGCTGAGCAAGAGCTTCCGTCGCATTCAGAGGGACAAGAGCCAGGTGGGGATATGAAGCAATATATACAGTGAGGGCAAACAACAAAAATTCAAACTAAGTTCAATTTACCACACAAAAACAAGGGGGCGTATACAATACTAGAGAAAAATTATGACAGATAACATTACATTTCATTTAGCTGACACTTCTATGTGTGTGTCAGTGATGTACACACTTTAGTGCAATCAACAATGAGGATACAAAAAGCAAAAATCCAGGAAGTACATGAGCTTAAAATAAGCCAAACCGTTTTAGTAAAACAGTACAAGGATCCAAACAATAAAGACATGTAAATACAATGGATGCAAAGAACAAAAGCATGTCTACAGGTTTTAAGAATGAATTCAATAGTGATTACTGGTTCTGCGGGCCTAATCTCTTTAGGCATGGGGACCTGATCAAAAAAGCACAGTCACCATTAGATTCAGGTCAGAGGATCTAAGACTGAAAACGGGTTCATATGAGGTCAACATTTACAATGTAGCCATTGGGTTAGAGACCCTCCGTATGTGCTTTAAAGGGGATCAGTCAATTCTTACAATTCTCAAACCATCAGGGAGTCAATATTGAGAAGCCAGGATTGGCATGCTGAGCTGCTGCATCCTGAACCAGCTGGAGGCATAAGAGTGACTTTTGTTTAAGGCCAGAAAGGCGGGAGTTACAGTAGTCAAGAGAGAGGATAACATCATGAATGACTTTATTCAGATATGTCTTATGATGTCTTGTGTTTATAGCATTAGGAGCAACCAAAATGTCCTTGAGCAACACTTTGAAGCTAGATGTGCTGATCTGTAGTCGAGTCAGCAACTAAACTGCCCTTTTCTATAATTTCTATAATGTTCTCCACATGTGTTGAGGTTGTTTTGGTCAGCGTCTTTGCATGGGCTGCAGCAGTTTGAAATGTGTTTTTCTATGTTTGATTCAGTCAGTGGGGAAGGGGTCGCTGTGGTGTGTGTGTCCAGAGTACCGGCCGGCGCTCCTCGAGGTGCTGAGGAAGACCCACAGTTATCACAGCACCAACATCAATCTGTTAAACAAGCCTGCATTGTGAGTACACAGAGTTTGTACAACAATCAATATTTTTCATTCTGAAAAAACATCTTTAGTTCCACAAATTCAAAGCTAATAAAACTCTATTAAGTATAGTATTCAATACATCAAATGCAACCAGCTTCATGCACCTGTGGTACATTTAGGTACGCTGTTTTAAGTCGTAACTTTACTAAGCATTGGATTTGTTCAGTTTTTTTTTAGTTAAATTATTTGATGAAAAAAAAATTCTTCGACTTCGCAAATGTATGAATCTTTCTGTTCTCACAGTTCACATTTATTAATTTTTTTATAGAATATCTTGAGATTTTTTGGGCTACACAGTACAATGGATGAAAAATAAAATGTCGAGACTTAAAAATTGCAATCTTTCACTCTTTTTTGTTTTAAAGATATATTGTTAGATTTAACAATAGGAGGAAAAATCATAAGAAAAGAAACCCAAAACATTGCTTCAGTGATATTGTTCTAATGCAGCAATGAAATATACTCGAGATGTTTCATCTTAATTGCACATTCGAATGACTCTTTACTGCAAACAAACAAAAACAAACACATGTAGTTGTCTAACTTTCTCTCCGTGTTGTGTGCAGGCTGGAGGGAGCAGAGTTTGGGGTTCCTGCAGTGTGCGACTCTATGGAAATGTCAGGTCAGTGGAGAGGACACTCACAGCAGGCTCATGTCTCTTAATTAGCCCTAAACTTACATATTTGACCTTTTATGAATTTTTATTCTTCTGCAATGTTTCTTGAATGCAGGAACATCTCTCTGAGACACTTTTATTACATGCAGCTTTTCTCCCTCTCTGAAGAATTCACAGCATGCAACATTGTTCCTGTGTTTGTGTTACGTTGTCATGGCAACAACCATTTATTACCTTAGCAACCCATCAATGGCTTAGTTTCCTTTATGTGTCCCCCGTTTTTATTCCCTAGCCTATGTGCTATATGGGCCCACGTACCCACTGAAGAGTCTGACAAGTGGTTGTTTGACCAGGAAAATGATTTTTCTAATGAATGGACAGTTGACCAAAAATTTGAAATACATGTTGTTCCTCTTAACTACAGCATAGCCATCCTAAAAGTAAAGATAGTTTTTATAGCGTTAGTTGATTTTAGCTTCACATTTTGACACAGTTTGACTAGTGGTAATGTTCTGAGTTGCCAGATCTCACAAGAGTGTGTTACTGAGGCAGACTAACAGACAAGTATGTCTCGAACAAATGTAATTTCTTCTGATTGGTTCATCTGAAAATGTAATTTTATTGTTAGATCCTTTGGAAAATATGTTGCATTTTGAAATGTGGTTCAAAATAGACTTTGGTGATTTTGTGGCAAAAAGGTTGTTTATAATCTGTGTTAAATATTTTCCATTGGAGGTAATGGACTCCACCAGATCAGTCTCCTAAAGGGTGTACGGCCGATAAAAAAAGTGACACAGAAACAGGAAATGCATTCTCTGTGTGGCGTCTGTTTTCTATAACGTCTGGCTGTAGTGCTTCTTTCTGACTCATATTCTGCTTCATGCATCGTTTTTCATTCATGCAGATCCTCTCTCTCACACCCTTCTCCTCTCCTCGCCATCAACCCAAATCATGGCCGCTGATAACACACCTTTCTCTGAAAACCCACTGTGCCCTTTGACCCCGGATCACGAGGAGCTCGTCACCATGGAGTCGGTTGAATACCATCATCAGGGCGATGTCAGCGAGGACATGGAGAAAGACCCCCTGTCAGACAGCGGTTACATCGAGTTACATTACTACGAGTCTCACCAGTACCAGTACCTGGTGCTGCCCGGCGACACAGAGCTGGACCTGGAGACCGTGGAGATCCTCCAGCTGGACGCAGAGGCCCAGGAGGCTGCTGGGTCGCTGTTGGACCTGGCAGGCGGAGTTTATTAATCAAAAATCCCTTTTAACAGTCAGAGCTGATGCTTAAATCCATCGTAAGCTCCAACAAAGCAACATAAATTGAGATTAATGTTTTAGAATCTTAATCGATAATGGATGGAGTGATGATGTTAGGAATATCACTTCTTCTTCCTGAGACGTTGACACTGCCCTTATTCTTGATTTTTAGTTAGATAAAAAATATAGTTTCACCTTTTGTTGGACTAACAAGACTAATGAATCACATGACTTTAGTTCAGGCACTTATGATGCAAAAGCTAAATTGACCACCATACAATGAAAACCTGGACAAATACTTGAGAGTGTAATCCTCAATGGAAAAGGCCGGACAAAGATATACTCAGAGGTTTTAAAACTGAGGGGCAAGTATTAATAGAGTTGGATCTTTGTTACAAAAAGATTTGAGCTTTTCAGCTGTGTTTCTACATTATGTTCATTCTCAGGGGTGTAATGGAAAAACTGTTTCTGGATTAAGATGTTTTCCATGTTAGGGTACGATTTTTATAGCCTTAAAACCTGAAAAAGAAAATACTAAAATAGCTATTGACTCACATCCACACTGTTGCCTTTTCAATATTAATAAGCCTTTCCAACCAGTTTTTCTCCAAATCATTCAAATAGTGGCCATCTTTTCTTTATTATGTCTTTATAGAGGTTACTTTTTGAGGGAAAAACATTTAGACAAATGTATTTGAAATATATTTTACTTTAACTCTGTTACTGTATTCTGAAAATACTGCCTTTTACTAGTTGAGTGAAACACTTAATTTATAATGTAGCTGCAATTGTAGATTGTGCTCCGAAAATGGGAAAGCACTACTCAATTACAATTATAAGTACTTCCAATTTTCTTTCTATGTATTTCTTTACACCTATTGTCATTTTTCATATAATTTGTGCTTGAGTTTTATTTACATTATGTAATGTTACAGAATGACTTTGAATTTTCTGTGAATTTTAAAAACTAGATATGATCTTGTATGCTAAGCAAAATGTTCTTCAATCAGGAAGTCTTTGATTGGAAATTTGAGTTATGAATGCAAAACGAACCCACTGCCATTTAAAATGCTTTACATTTCAGTGTACACGGAAATTCTGTTTGTTAATGTTCAAAAGTTTAAGATTTTGTAATCTAACAAATACAATCCATCCTGCTGTTCAGTGAATCAAAACGGCCTATTTTTCTGTTAATTTAGGTGCCTTTACAGTGTGTAACCATCAGTGCTGTAATGTAACTGTACATTTACTCAACACTCTTGAGTAAAACGGTAGACTTGTTCTTTAATTGAGTATTTTCACATCATGTCACTTTATGCTTTTACTCCACTACATTTTGTGGACAAATGTAATTTTTAGTCCACTACATTTGTTTTACATATTTAGTTACTAGTTACTTTGCAAATGTAATATATGATATACATTATAATATAGTATTATAGGTTAAGCTAGTGCATCAAGTAGTTCAAATAAACTCCACCAAGTGCAAAATGTAAGTGATGAACACATGAATGCACCAATAATTGTAATACAATACATGTTGCCTAAATGGCCATTTTGCATAACGAGGAATTTTGCGTTTGGACTTTAAAGCATGTATTAATGCGTATACTGTTGTGTTGTTGTCTATTGTCGTGTTCTTTTATTCCAGGAAAGACAAACAACTTCTAAGTTCAACTATTTATTAAAAGAGAGCAAAATATATATTACTTCGCCAAGGACCTATGCCAAGGACTCGTCACGTGATAGAAATCACAGGCAGCAAAGCTGTTATCTGTAACCATTACTATTTCCATAAAGAGCCTCGAACCTCGTGGGTCAATACATTTTATTACACAGGGCTTTGCCCATACATTTATGATTGGTTAAGACTAGATGGAAAGTAACCTTGGTTTTTACAGATATAGTGGAATCTTCATTATACTGGTTCCTAGTTATGCGTGAGCGCGGAGCTCAACCTCATCTCAAGGCCGAAGCGATGTCCTGCTCTGAATAACCCTGTCTTGTCTGCACCACGCTACTTTCTTATTGCAAGCTAAAACTTTATTGCTATGACTTTTCCCTTCGTTCCTATCCAACCCATCAAAACTTGGGATTGGTGATTTTGTCAATTTATTCCAAAGTCATAGAAACATCTCATGAGCACAATTAGCAAATAATAAGAATCAGTCTTGTAATGTTATATAAAAATAGACTCCACACTATAAAAGTTAAACCATTAGAGGGCGTAACAATCCCACACACTGGACACAGTTTGCTAAACATGAACATGTTATGCCCAGCCCTCAAACTAAATCATGTTGCTAAGATACAATGTCAATATTTTAGATATGATTTGTATACACGCAAAACACAAAAGGGCTGAAACCTGTCAGGTAGTTACGTATTACGCATCTAACAGTAGGGCCGGGCACATTGGGTAACGTAGTTCTTAGACAAACGTAAGCAGAAGCAGGAAATCCCATAAAGACTACATTTCCCAGACGACGTTGCGCATGCTGAACGCGGAAGTGTGTGAGTTTCACGGTGGAAAAAAGTTATCATAGTTGTTTTCATGCCAGACAGTTTTAAAAGTCACGCTTCTGCCGTTCCTCGACTCTTGATATTGTGTTGAAGCCGTCTGAAGACACCAAAGGTAACATTACAACATAAACCTGCAGCTAAAGCGAGTAGATACGTTTTATATAAACTAACTTACACCTTTAAAATGTGCTACAGCGCTTGTTTTTGGAACACTCGTTTCTTCCAACAGCTTACAACGGATACGCGTTAGCATTTTAATGTTTTTATCTGAGTACACACTGACACACAGACTATTAGCCACAGCCGATAAGTAGGGGAAGTATTGTCTACAGGCATGTGCTTCAGCTAGTTAGCTAGTTGTTGAGCTATAATAAATCCATTAACGGTTAATAGTTGTTTTTAGCCTAGCCACATTGACAATTGAAGTCCTTCCAGTTTAGTTAGCCAACATTGATGTAACCGTTAAGTAGCAGTTGCTAAGATCATGCACGGGTAATTATAGACAGTACTGTACAGTTAAGCTTGTTTAATGTGGTGTTTGCTCACAAGACAGAGCAGGCAAGAGGTGTTATCTGTCTATGACCAAGAGTAGACATCTTTCAAAAGTAAGCTGTGGAAAAAAACAATACATTAATCAATGATGGCAGCATCCATTACTAAAAGGCATTAAGGGCCTATTCCTTATAGGTCCCTTTCCTGACACTGTCCAGCTTCACTTAAATATGCAATTTGGATGAAAACCCCACCCAAAGGTGTTTACTCATAAATAAGGTTTACCTGTGCCTTTTGAAAAATCTGACTTGCACTAATCCTCCCATCAGACACAATATACAACATATTACAAAATATGGTTTGGTTTTATTAAGGCTGCAGACTTTTCTTTCTGCATTGCAACGCAATCCCCACAGAGAAATGCCTGGCATGCTGCTGCCGACTGCCACACCTTTTTTGGGCGTTTAGTGAAAGGAGAGAACTCAAAGACATTGTGTATTTGTATTGTAACCGCAGAAAACTCCTATAAAAGCACCTCCCTTTCTTAGTCATCATGGGAGAGAGGACGTCCTCTTCACAGAGCAACAACAATGCAGTCTATTGAAGCAGATAACATGAGCAGTCAGTGTGCTGTGCAGCATGGTGAATCCACTGGCTGGAGGCAAAGCAGCATGACGCCCATAAGAGCATCCCACAGTCGGCTTCACACAGAGCTAAATATTGTGTCTGCTGGAAGGATTAGGGCATGTTTGATTTTTCAAAAGGCACAGGCAAATGTTATTTATGAGTAAACAGCTTTGGGTGGGGTGACCTTAAAGCAATGCATGTTGTCAGTGTTTTCTTTATCTATCCCAATTAATATCATGATCACGATATTCAACTATGTTATTGTTTATTGCATTCTTTCTTCACAAAGTGCAGCCCTAACATGTAACCAGCAAGTGCTTGCAAAATATAAATAACTAAGGCCCCATTTACACGGGAATGCAAACGAAACGCAAACAAACCGAATTCGATATCAAAAAAGTATTCCGTTCACATGGATACGGCTCAATAAACGTGTCCCTTCACATGAGACCACTCGACCCACTGGAGACGCTGTAGTACATATGCCGAGCCTGTAAGTGGCGCTGTACTTCCGCCACAAAATACACCAAAAGCAGCGAAGAAGACCCCCGAGCAAGGTTGCCATGGTTGCCTGGTTGCCCTTCTGTTTATTCTCTGTGGTGGATTTAGCAACATGTAGTTCTCCATGTCCACTTGTTGCTGATGATTGTGGTAGAGGAGCTGTAGATTTTGCACTAACATCTGTAGCATGGTCAGTAGCTACTGACCATGCTAGCATCCATTACTAAACCGTTTGAGACCCACTGAGATAACTTAGACTAAAGTTAACTATCTAACTATCTAAGTCCTTTGTTTAGCTCACCTGAGCCTCTCAGTCTGAGAGGAGAGGACTCTCCTCCAGCTTGTTGTGGAACAAACAGCTCCTTATGTCCATTAGTGCAGCTAGCCAACCAGATGCAACACGGTCCCCGCTGGCACCGGTCGGTCTCTTTCACATCAGCGCTTTTCCCTTTCTAGCTCCGAGCGGGCGCTTTTCTGGTTCAGCTCTGGTTTCCCCTTTCTGCTCCCGCTCTGTTCACACCGCCCAGAGCTGCCGCTGCTGCGTCATGACGTCACCGTTTACGTGCCTGCTTCATAAAATCCAAACTGCGCGGAAATCCCTCACATCGACAACAACAACAATGGCCGATTGTATTGAAGCGCTGTTCGCTTTGGTTATCCTCTTACGAAACGAAATGGAAGGCATCGGACGACTTTACAAGGGACGACTTTACTTGGAACTTTACAAACATCACATGCGAAATGCAAGACTTCTTTGTGGTCTTCAGCATCTACTTCAACGACGAATCTGCCCCTGCCCCCGCCTCGACGTAACGGCCCGTCTACCCTACAGGCGTCAAAAAATGCTTTCAACGCTTCGCCCATTCATTTGAATGGGGTGACGTAGGATATTTTCAAACTTCGCCGAACTGCATTGTGGGTAGCATGGCAAGGCGTTGCAAGCATCGCGAGCGTCTATCGGCGTCAAAAGTTGAACAATGTTCAACTTTTGAGGCTCGATGCTTGCTCGAAGCTGGCGTCAGCCAATCAAATCCCGTTTTTGCAATTCCCGCCAGTACAAGCGCTAGCCAATCAAACCGCGTGCAAGCTGGGAGAGCCAGACCGCAGTTCATTTCCTCATATTCCAAACGAGAAATTACGGTAGCAAATCACCCGGTTCTTTCCGACCAGAACTATTTACCGGGATACAAACCGGAGGAACCAGGCATGGAGGGAGGTGGCAGAGACAGTGGGTGAAACTGGTAGGTTTTCGCCTGTTTGGGGATTTTATATCCAGTTTACTTCGTTTTAACATTGCTATTGCTTTGTATGTCGTGGGCGGAAGATTCATTTGATTGGTTGTTGGTCGCGTTGCTCGCAAAAAATCGCCAAGCTTCAGACACGCCCAGCTTCAAGCTTTTTCGATGCCTGTAGTGTAGACGGGCAGAGAGACGTAAGCGACGCCGCCTCTTAGCTCCGAAGCTCTTGCCTCTAGACCGAACATTTTTTGGAGCTGGAAGTGAACCGGATTCCGGAGGTAAGAGGCGGTGTGAACAGGAAAAACCTGTACTTTTCAGGTTCCAGCTCCGAGCCGGAGCTGAAACGCGTTGGTGTGAAAGGGGCATCTGATGCGCTATCGCCACTAATTTTCACCTCTTTTTTAATACCTTGCACCTCATTCTGAAAGAAAGAAGTGAAATGTGCCAACGTGACGTCCGTCTTGGTGTGTGGTGCGAGATGGGAGATGTAGTTCATTGAGCGGTTTCTCACAAAAAAAAGTGTTACTTCACAGTTTTACGACACATTTTTTTTTTTGACTTGCAAAATTATCTTTTAAATTGACAAACATCATATGTGTAATTCGTGGCACAATTCAAACGGGATCGAAAGATAATCTTTCTCTCTCCATTGACTTCAATACATAATCTTTCAGAAATAAGGTCCCATGGAGCTCCCCCATGGATGTATAATAAGAACTGGATACAGCGTGGAAGGCGGGGCCTCATTCATTCCTATGAGAGTTGCTCGCATGGATGACAAAATGGCCCAACTTTTGAGAGAGTGAAACGTCACAGATTACCCAGCATGCCTGAGAAGTAGCCGTATGTGCGCTCATAGAGCATGCGCAACTTTAACCACGCCCCCCAAAAGGCTCGTTCACATCACAAGCACGTCAATTTGCGTACACGTAACAGCACCGCGCGTTCTGGATAAACCAAACCGTTTGTAAAGCAGTCAAGATTTCAGCGAGTTAAGAGTATTTTTGTAAAGATCACTCGCCTCACAACAGCTGTAGCTGTAGTTGTTGACTGTGGCAAGATGGCTGCCGGTGAGCTACGCTGGCGACTCCCCCTTGAGCCATCTAATGTTTATATATATCTATGGACGCAAACAACAAACTAGACTTTTTAAACTACAGGAAGATAAGGAGGACTTTTACAAAAAAGTTATAGATTGTTGTCCACTTCATCTTCAAGTCAAGATAAGACCACAATTGTAATGAAAATGGGATCTTACTAAGAAAGAACAATCCAATATTTAGATTGTGGGTATCCTTTTGTTGAACGGTCTGTTTAAAATGAATCGAAGCATCAGACTAAAAAAGCTTTTGAAAATAACCGAATATTTTGATTAAGGTCAAAATATAATATTTGTAAATCTGACTCTGAAAGAGTCAGTGCCTCACCAGCCATGAACCTCACCGCACGTCACTGGATTCCGCGGTTCGGCCTCGTGTGAACGAACGGCCTATACGAAAGAGAAAAGTAGCGGATACAACCCGTTTCGTTCCCGTGTAAACGGCACCTCAGTCAACTGGCAGAAAATGTATCAGCAACCTCTTTTATTTTTTCATTTATCAAAATATGGCAACATTTGCTGTCCTCTCGACCGGAGTGTGAGGATTAGCTTTTGTATGCTTTATGTCATTGTACATTTAAATACTTTTGCTTTTTAAGACAAGTTGATCACAATTAATAAAAAACAGACATTTAAATCAATAATAAAAATAGTCTTTAATTGCAGCCTTGAATTGTATTTGCTGTACTAATATCAACCTGCTGTTTCTGTGTGTGATATTCACAGGAACCAGTACCTCTGAAAGATGGGAACTAAAGCAGGCCCAGTTCAGGTCGTCGCCGTGTGTAAGGAGGAGCACTCCTTCGCTCTGGACACCGAGGCTTTGGCTCGGATTCTGCTGGCTCCGGAGGTCCAAGACAAGAATGTGGTGGTGCTGTCTGTGGCCGGAGCCTTCAGGAAGGGAAAGAGCTTCCTGCTGGACTTCATGCTCCGCTATATGTACAGAAATGTGAGTTACACTGTCAAATTATTGTCTCACTTCTCCAGATTTAATATCTTACTACTCATTCTGCTGGCAGTACTCAGAAATCATAATACATTCCTAATCCCATTTGTGCCAGCAACTTAAATGTGTAATTCCCATTAGAGGTGTTCTCTGTGCCCAAGCACACATTTGCAGAAATGTTCAAACTGTTCAGCTCAGTTTTCCTATCATACTTTAGTCATTGGGCACATGTCACTACTGATTGTTTCTATATATATTTTTAGAAACGTTCACCTTATGAAAAACATTTAATAAATACAAACATAGCGCTTGACTGACTTTGAATGTTTTTAAAAGTAGAATTTTTCAACTGATCTTTACATTTTCAAATGTGTATCTTGCCTATGGCTGTTACAGAAAGCACAGCCCTGCTGTAACATGTGAACTAACTAGTTTACTGAGCAGGATCTTGGTGAATTTACTCATCACCAGGAGTGGAGTCTGTGTGAATGCCCAATGCCTGACGTTACAAAATGATGTGCTCATAGATTATGTAACTTTATTACTGTTGCTGTGGTGCCCCCATCAGGCCAACGTTATGATCTGTACCCAGTGAAAATTGAAAAGAAAGCCTAACTGGGGAGATGACTATAATTAGTTAAATATGAGCAGAGTAAGGTCTAGTACTTTTTAATGTTCTAAATTATGCAGAACATCGGACATTTCTATTAACAGTTCAGGGTAAAATGCTTGCAGCAGCTGCTGCTACATTCCTCAGGAGAATTGCTACTTCATTACTAATATATATTACAGGCTGCTTTAATAAATGGTTTAATACATTTTGAATAAGCCCGAAAGTTTATGCACAGACAGAGAAGCACAAGTTCCCCCTTGCCTGATCTTAAAAGTGTAAACTCCAAGATGTCAACCTGTCTTTATGACAAAATATCTTGCTGCAAAAAACACCAGATTTGCCGGGAATTATAATATTGTGGTCGCCTGCCCAAGAACTAACTCAGTGAAAAAACTTTTATTTACAGAACCATAACAAAAAAGGATCATTACATCGTTAATATCTGACTAAGTAAAAATCTGAGGCAATTATTGGCTGGCAAGTGACGGGCTGCATGGTAGCAGGTAGGGCTGTGCGATTATGGCAAAAATCATAATCACGATTATTTGGGTCAATAATTGATATCACGATTATTTTGACGATTATTCATTGACCATTTATTGAACTTTAAAACAAATAATATTTTACCAATAAACAAGATCAACAAATATGTTGGAGCGCACTTCCAAAACCATACTAAACATATATTATTAATATGATAAATAAAAATAAATTAGACCAAAACAAATGAAATCAAACATGTTGCAGTGCACTGTCACAACCTGCTGAAAACTCCTTAACATATAGCCAACATTTTGGTAAAACATAATCAACATATTCCACTCAGTTAAACGTTGAAGGCTGGCCAACCGTCATTGTCCAGAAGTAACAGGAAATAAATGTTGAACTACAATTTAAGACCAAATAAAAATGTTTAGGCCACCATGGCAAATGCTGGTAGGGCTGCTCATGTCATCTCTTAAAGATGTTTTGCAAGAAACAACAGCCTGTTTACATGGTCTGGTTTCAGAGATGAGCGCAGGCAGGTGACAATATTGCCACCTGTACTGAAGACCCTCAGCCACGCCCCGACACATGGGGTGACGCCGGCCAATCACAAAGCTTTGATGCGTTCAAGTGCATTATTCTGGCACAGGAAGATTATGTTACAGGACATTAACGATAAAACAGAATATTGTTGTTCTATTTTTAGACACATCTCGCGATAGACTGGTTGGGCACCCCTGGGCTAGACCATAGGTCTGTTGTGGTAGCAAAGTAGAAGCCACATCTCTCTCAACTTCCCCACGGCATTTGTCATATAGTGCAGGCAGCGCAGACCTGCTGAAATAATACCGAGACGGCATCGCGTAACGCTTGTCCAACGTGTTGACAAGTTGCTTAAAGCGCTGGTTGCTCACAGTGCTAACTGGGCACATATCTTTAGCGATGTGAAATGTAATGGCAAGTACTTGCAAATAGTGGAAATAGTTTTACCCTTCTTTTTAACGAGTTGCTGCTCTTGTTCTGACATCTTCGCTCGCGCTGAACACTCACAACACATGTCACTCCCACGTGGCCGAGTGGGCTTTTAGGGAGGGGCGAAAGCGCACCAGCAAAATAATCGTATTTTGTCAATTATGCTGTTTTCATAATCGTCGCAAGCCATAATCGTAATCGCGATTAAAATACGATTAATTGCACAGCCCTAGTAGCAGGTATCATTCTTGGTAGTTTTTAAAGGGCCCATGTCATGGCCATTTCTACTGATCATATTTCTATTGTTGAGGTCTACTAGAATAGATTTATACTGAGCAATTTTCCAAACTCACATTGGTTTCTCATACAGCATCTCTGTAAAGTATGTGTATTCACTCTCTGTCCTAAACTGCTTGTTGGAGCTCCTGCCCCCCCCCCCCCCCCCCCTCCCTGTGAGCCCAGTGTGCTCTGATTGGACGGGCTCATTGCTCGTCTGCGAGCTGCAGACAGGCTTCCGGGTTGGCGATACAGCGAGAACAAGCGAAACTCATCCTGAGCACACACAAACACTCACAGCCGAAGTAAAAACAATAAGTGTGGCTTGATATTGAGCAAGAAAAAGGTTTATAACGCTGTGAGAATGGGTCTGCGGAGAGAATGGGTCTGCGGAGAGCATTTCTCCACGATCCCAACGTAGAAGTCTGAAAAACGTTTACCCATTTAAACAGTCGTGGTAGATACCTTGTTTGTTTTAAACATCATAAATACACAAACAACAATGAATACTTACATGTTGTGTACCCGAATCTCCCGCTGGTCCAAACAAAGTAGGAACAGCATCGTTCTTCAGTGCCCTACGCTGTACATATCCGGCATGAATCGCTGAAAGGTTTGGAAAGCTTTGTTTCGTGAAATGCTGGCAGAGGGTGTGGCCTCTGGGTATTCACACGTCAGAGTACCCAGGAAGTAAACAATGGAAAATGAGAAATCTCCAACGAGGCGTTTTGGGGCAGCATAGACTGTGTTAGAGTTTTACTCGCTGCAGGGTGTACTTTGAGGGTTTGTGACTCTGCAGACTGTTTACATGCAGAAAAACCTTCATAACACACAAGGGGACGGGTAATAACCGGAAAAGCATGACATGGGCCCTTTAATATCCATGATTTGCTTGATATAAGTTGTGTTATTTTCATTCTTTTTCATCACCTTCATATAGATCTTGCATAGTATTTAAGGTCTTTATTTGTGCAGTGTTGATCGGCTTTCAATTGCAGAATAATTTATTTCGATGGTTGAAAAAAGCAATAAATAAATGGGTGTGTAAATCAGCGGTGGACGCTAGGAGGATTAGTTGATTGCTGAGCTTCAGGTGATCAGGAAATGTGTCATTTGTATTTCTGCAGGCTGATGCAAACTGGCTGGGAGATGATGATGAGCCGCTGACTGGATTCTCTTGGAGAGGAGGTTCAGAGCCAGAGACAACAGGCATCCAGATGTGGAGCGAGGTTTTCCCCATCACAAAGAGCGATGGAACAGAGGTACCTTTCACTTTTTAAATATATAAACCCTAGTGTTTTGGGATGGGATACATGGAACTGTAAACTAAAGTCAAATCAAGAAATTTAGTTTCGACAATTTAGGTCTTCTACTTTCATTTTTTTTTTTTTTAATGTATGTTTCCTCAACATTCATCCAATATTATTATTTTATTCCACCCTTTCACCCCTTATTTCTTTAACCACACTTTCGGAATTGTTAGTCTGACTTGCATGTTTGTTAAGCAGGGAGAAAAATGATATCTGAACTACAGAAAATAAGTTAACAACGAAAAACAAATTATTTGCTATTTTTGAATAATACAAATAATAGTTATATTAAACTGCTTCTTTTTTTATTTGTTTTTAATATAAAGAAAATAATACACTTAACAACATTTCAAAGGATAGATTTCAACAGTATTTTTAATATTTAAGTGTAGGGTGTTTAAACTCCGTCTCAGTGGTAATGCTGCGTTGTGTCTCCTGTAGGTGGCGGTAGTGCTGATGGACACTCAAGGAGCCTTCGATAACCAGTCCACTGTGAAGGACTGTGCCACCATCTTTGCCCTCAGCACCATGACCAGCTCCGTACAGGTGGTGGATTCAATCTGATTAACTCTGATTTTATATTTTCTCATTGCTCCCGTGGTGTCTGCTCACACAGTCTCTCTTTGCAGATCTACAACCTGTCCCAGAACATACAGGAGGACGATCTGCAGCAGCTACAGGTCCGTTTATATGGGTGCTGAAAATCATTGAAAACATTTGGTTGTGCTTGAAATTGTAATTGTTACCGTTGTGTGGCTGTCATAACTTTAGTTAGGGTTGTATAAAACATCTAATGTGATAATAATCAGTATACCGTATATACAGAATGTACATTATATACAAATGTAGTGAACCTCCTTGCTTGCTTGAAAGTGTTTTGAAAAAAGTAAAACTAAGGAATTAAATACAACATACCTGCTTTGATGTGGATGTTTAACCTTTAACACACAGGCTAGGAATATAAAGTTCTGTAAAACAATAGTGTGTGTGGTCCAGTTGTTTGTATCTCAGTATTAACTCTGCTTAATTCATGCCCCCCCCCCATCACAGCTGTTCACAGAGTATGGTCGTCTGGCCATGGATGAGATCTTCCTGAAGCCCTTCCAGGTACAGAACCACAGGATGTGAGGATTGTGTCGCTCATGTAACCACTTCAAATGTTTTTTTCTTAAATGGAACTGCTTTGGTTTTATTCCTACAGTCTTTGATGTTCCTAATCAGGGACTGGAGCTTTCCATATGAATATACCTACGGGTTCAAAGGAGGCAAGGAGTTCCTGGATAAACGGTTACAGGTACCAATACTGTCCTGTGGATTCCTTAATAACAGTACACCAAAGACAAATGTCTGATCTTAAATACTGATTTTGGGATTTCACCTTTCTTTTGATTTCTACAGGTGAATGAGACCCAGCACGAGGAGCTGCAGACAGTGAGGGATCACATCCATTCGTGCTTCACCAACATCTCCTGCTTCTTGTTACCCCACCCTGGACTGAGGGTGGCCACCAGCCCTGTCTTCGAGGGACAACTTAGCGGTAAGAGCTGTCGTTTTTCACGCTAATCTACCTTTGGGGTTCATACCAAATCATTTCAGTTTGAAAATGTGTCATCTTAGCTGTTGTGTCCTTGGGGAATGCTTCATTTGTTATCATAATCTGGTGTTGTGTTCTCCTTGTGTTCACTCATCATTCACAGCTAGATAAATGCCTTTCTCTAGACATTAGCAAGAATTCAATAATCATGATTGTTAAATATGGACAGCTAGCAAAATCAACAAAGTGCCATTATACATTGAGGGTTTTATAAGTGTATTGTAAACGCCCTGAGAGTCTGGAAATCTTTAGTGAGGGTACTTTTAAAAGGGCTTGAAATGTACTCTTGAAAAGCGGTATGAAACATCTACTTGTTTAGGTTTTTAGCAGAATGCCCAATTTGCCTCATTTTATTTTTCAGCTGTGGCCCCGGAGTTCAAAGACGAGCTGAGGAGTTTGATCCCTAAACTGCTGCATCCCGACCGCCTGGCTGAGAAGGAAATAAATGGAAACAAAGTCACCTGCCGGGGCCTGCTGGAGTACTTTAAGGTAATATTTCCTCCATCTGAGTTTTCTTGCTAAACACAAATATGCTTTTTCTTTTTTTCAAAATGTTGTGTTTTCTTTACCAGGCGTATATCAAGATTTACCAGGGAGAAGACCTACCACAGCCAAAGACTATGCTCATGGTATGTTGCAGGATTAACATACGTTTTAACATGTGTATGCTTTGTTTTAAGCTCAAATACATTTAACATGTGTCTGTTTGTCTCACCAGGCTACAGCAGAGGCTAATAACCTGGCTGCCGTGGCAACAGCCAAAAATCAGTATACCAAGAGCATGGAGAGGGTAACTGTTTTTCTTTTATAATTACTTTTCCATTTCTGTTTAGTTTCTGACTGTGTTTGCTATATTTAGCTTTGTTTCAGTTTTCCGGTCATAATGTGTCAGAAGTTTAAACTCTAAAATATACACGGTAGGAAAGCGGTATCTGAACGGCTTCGAAGTTTAAATCTCTTGATTCAACTTTCACTAGCACACTGAGGACTTGTCGGCTGCAGTTTCATCCCAACAAAAGCTGCCTAAAGAGGACCTGAGCCCAAGCCATTGGGCTCAGGTCCTCAAAGGGCATTTAATGAACTACAATATTTAAATCCTGTTTTTGTTATTCAATTATTGACTATTCTGCATGCTAAAAACAACAGGGACTCATTTAAATCAATTGCGGTATCGCCTTCTCCTGGAAATATCGTTCAGTTTTCTTAAAGTAAATTGTAGCATTGAGTTTATTACAATATTTTCCTAACATACATTACATTACATTTAGCTGACGCTTTTATCCAAAGCGACTTACAATAAGTAAATTCGACCAGGAAGATACAACCTTGAAGAAAACAGAATCACATAAGTACATCAGGTTTCATAGAGCCAAACATTTCAAGTGCTACTCAACTGGCTATAGATAAGCCAATCCTTTATTAGTATATAAGTGCTTTGTTGATAGTTCTATCGCTCGAAGTGGAGTCGAAAGAGATGAGTTTTCAGTCTGCGCCGGAAGATGTGCAAGCTTTCTGCTGTCCTGATGTCAATGGGGAGCTCATTCCACCATCTTGGAGCGAGGATAGCAAACCCACGTGTTTTTGCTGATGGGAACTTGGGTCCCCCTCGCAGCGAGGGCGCAGCGAGTCGTTTGGCTGATGCAGAGCGGAGTGCACGTGCTGGGGTGTACGGTTTAACCATGTCCTGGATGTACGAAGGGCCAGATCCATTCGCAGCATGGTATGCAAGTACCAGTGTCTTGAAGTGGATTCTAGCAGTTACCGGAAGCCAGTGAAGGGAGCGGAGGAGCGGCGTGGTGTGGGAGAATTTAGGAAGGTTGAAAACCAGACGAGCCGCTGCATTCTGGATGAGCTGCAGAGGTCGGATGGCACATGCAGGTAGACCAGCCAGGAGGGAGTTGCAGTAGTCTAGGCGTGAGATGACGAGAGCCTGGACCAGAACCTGCGTTGCTTTCTGGGTCAGCTGGGGACGTATCCTCCTGATGTTGTAAAGCGTGTATCTGCAGCAACGGGTTGTAGCAGCGATGTTTGCAGTGAAGGACAGGTTGTTATCTAGGATCACACCCAGATTCCTTGCAGTCTGAGTCGGGGAAACAACTGAGGTGCGGATGTTGATTGTTAGGTCAAGAGTGGGACAATCTTTTCCCGGACAGAAGAGCAGTTCAGTCTTGTCAAGGTTGAGCTTGAGGTGATGAGCAGACATCCACTGAGAGATGTCAGCTCGACAAGCAGAGATGCGTGCGACGACCTGGGTTTCTGAGCGGGGGAAGGACAGAATTAATTGGATGTCGTCAGCGTAGCAGTGGTATGAAAAACCATGCGGGCTAATGACTGATCCGAGCGAGTTTGTGTACAGGGAGAATATACCAATATAGAAATATTTAATATTTATTTAACCCCAATTTACTTACATGTAAAATACACTGAATTAACAATGCCTCTTCACTGTTTGTTTATCATTGTTTGAACTGCTGTCCTAGATCAGTGTTGCTTAAATAGGGGTACGTGGACCCCTAGGGGTACGTTGGAGTACTGCAGGGGTACGTGAGATTTATTTTATGTTAATGAAAAAAATAAGTAATGCATTTAAACAAACTACTAATAGTAGATCCATCCATCCATCTTCTCCCGCTTATCCGTGGTCGGGTCGTGGGGGTAGCAGTTCCAGCAGAGAGCCCCAAACTTTCTTTTTCCTGGCCACATCAACCAGCTCGGACTAATAGTAGATGAACTACTTTATTCAAAGTTAACAGTAATTCTGGATAATAAAATGGGAAAAATAAACGGGGTGCTCTCTTTTCCTCTCCCTCTCCTGACAGCCCGTCTCGTGCAGCTCGCTGAACCTGTAATAAGTGACCCGACAGTAAAGAATAAATATATTTATAACTAGTTTAGCTAGTTCCAGAGTAGATAAACTAGCTAAGTGCGTCACAGCGGGGGAGCTGTGATCATGCAGAGCTGCGTGTTCTCCGTCAGCAGCAGCTGATCTGATCTCTCTCTCGTGTCCGGTCATACTTCACTCGCGTTTATGTCCAAATCTATCAGATCTAGCTAGTTCTAGTTAATTATATGACTGCCTGCTTATCAAAGGACACCTAAACAATAAGCGTTGCTTGGCAACGGCGTGTGGCCACAAGTATAGCGCAGCATTATGCATATGTTTATATGAGGGGTCAAAATCCCATGCTCATACAATGCTCATATATATTGTTTGTCTTCATTCCCCACGCCCCAAAATAAATAAATATACCAATTTTAGGAAATGTAACGAAGTTTGAGCAATGTGGGTTTTATATTAACAGAGTTACACATATTTCAAAACGTGAAGTGTAATAACTGCAGTTTGCCTCCCTGTCAGAATGACAAAGATCCTCAGTGAAGCACAAGTCCATGTTTCTCACTATATTGTACAACTTGTTAAAAAGATCAGTTCAATGCAACTAATGTCATCTTAGTGTTATTGCATGATGTTAAAATTGGTTTTCCATGAATTTAGTGATGGATTGTAAACATTTTAAATGTAGGATTTAAGTGTTTCTCAGTTACAAGGTTGTTGTTTTAACAAATCAGACACTGATGGTGCAGCGCTGTACTGTACCTCTTTATATAGGCTTTTTTTCCTTAACAAATAGTTTTTGCGCTGATCAGGGGGTACATGGCTGAATTTTTTTTTCAAAGGGGGTACGTTATTGAAAAAAGTTTGAGAACCACTGTCCTAGATCACCAGCAGAGCGGTATTTAACCCTGACTACAAACTCCTTTCTTAAGTCTCGGCTCTCTATGTTTTCCTCTCTAAGGTGTGTGGGGGGGACCTGCCCTACGTGGCTCCTGATTCTCTGAAGGAAAAGCACACCTTTAACCTGGAAGAAGCTATCCACAGCTTCTCCTTCACCAAGAAGATGGGCGGACAAGAGTTTTGTGACCGTTACCGAGAGCAGCTGGAAATGGAGCTGGAGGAAATGTGGCAGTCCCTCAGCAAGCACAACCAGGTAAGAGACTATTCCAACAACATGAGATAACATTTGCATTTGTGCCTTTTTGATATTTAAACAAACCTCTCAATCTTACACAACAGCACTAATGTTCTTCAATTATAAATAATAATAATAATAATCACTAATAACACCTTATTTTAAGAAACCAATAGTTCAATTATGCAAAAATAGGTACACATACTTTATTCCTTGTCACAACCATTCCTCATTGCAACCCATTTGACATTTATACATATTTTCTATGCGTGTCTCATTACCCTTGTTTTTTAAACATACTTATACCCCTAAATTCATTTGGGCTATTTTTATCTTTTCCAACAACCCCTGAATACAGTCAGTAAGCAAATGTGCAGTTTTAAGATCAACTAGATCCAAACATTTTAAAGCAGTCAAGATGTGGGATGGTTATTTTGTAAGGATAAAACGAGATTTTCCCACCTAAAATGACTCTGATTGAAGTATCTTATTGTTGCCTGCATTGTTGTGTCTGGCAGTGATGATATTTCTTAATCTTTGATTTGTCTCTTTGCCCTAAAGTCTAAGAACCTGTTCAGCGCCTTCCGGACGCCTGCAGTGCTCTTTGTGCTGGTGTGCCTCCTCTACGTGCTGTCGGGCATTTTGCTCTTCGTCGGCCTGGCGACCTTCGCACTGGTCTGTGACATCATTCTGGGCGTGGTCATGATGTCCATGCTGACGTGGGCCTTCATCCGCTACTCTGGTCGATACCACCAGGTGGGGGGGGCCATCGACCAGGCTGCAGGAGTCGTCCTGGAGCAGGTGAGAGTAATGGCACCTACGTCCTTCAGACGGTTTAATATCAAAGTCCCTCTCTTCTGTCTCGTTTTCATCTGAGCCACGACACACACATTGATCGATACAATCACAAAGTATGGTCTGATTTTAGTCCCTCTAGTAACTAAGCCCCACCCACATATTCTGTTGCAAATGGAAATGTATTTGACTGACAATTACAATTATTTTTTTATATTTCCTGTACAAAACTATTTATTTGTAGATGTATTTAATTGGATAACCGACACAATTTAAAAAACATATGCTGGACTGAACACAAACGGAAAATGAAAGTAAGAGCCTCTGAGGCTGTTTAGGGTTCATACCCTCTTACGTACACGAAACCAGAAGTGGTTTGAGTTGATCGACTCTCTGACGGATGAGGCTTAGAGGTTTCAGTGAATTACCCACAACTAACAACAAAACAGAAGTCAGCGACTGATGAGAGAAACACACAGCATGACTTCCAGCGTGGGCAGGACTACTTTTAAAACCCTGTTGAAAAGATTATAAATAATGTAACTTTTATAACTACATCAAATGAATGTTTCTGATTAAATTAGTAACAAATGTTTTAAACCAGGCAATAAGCTGTCAAGTGCTCAAAAGATATATTTGTATGTGACTGATGGTGATTATTTGTTAACTGATCATAATTACATTTATTTAGTAATAAAACGATTACTCCTCAACACTGATGCCACACATGTAACTGTCCTCATTGGTTTCCCTTCTCTGTCTGCAGGCCACTGAGGTGTTGAACAAGTCGCGAGGTGCAGGTGCCACTGCACAGAAGAAATCCAGTTAGAGGACCTCTGGACCCTCGTAATCTGATGCAATGCTACCAGCACACAACACAAGCACACATTCAGCACTAAAGCCTTATCATGCCTCCCATTGGAACGAACATGCAGCTCAACCACACCGGCACCAACATGATGCCGATCCACCTGCATCTTTATTCACACTGGCTGATATAAAGGTGACTGGAGGCGGGGAGTTAAACCATCCCAACCCCTCTTATTGACTCATGTCTTCAAATTGACACTGCCATCATTTTACAAGTTAACAATTGGTCTTAATAGACAAGTCTATGTTTACCTTATAAAACACTCACTTGGTTGTATATTGTTGAACCAGGGGTAGTCAGGGTGATTTTCAAACAAAGCTTCTGCAGTATATCTTAATACCGTTAAAACAAAAATGCTGGCTTTAAAGCTTATACATTTATACATATTTTCTTCGTGGCTATATTTTTTTTACTTTGTGGCCTTAAACACATTCCATTCTGTTTGTAGATTTGCTTTATATTTGATATTAACGAGCATTTCTAGAAGAGTGAACTATTACTACTTTGAAAGGAGAAGAGGATACGCACTTTCTGCATAGTTTACTAGATTTTGAAAGCTGCATGTAATGGGATGTCAGCTGAATCTCAAGTGCTTTGCTGCTTATTTCTTGATGGAAATGTGTTACACTTTGTACATTTTGATACTGTATATTAGACTCTTCTAGCTAAATTATATATAGGAAATTCTATGCTGCAATATTTTCCAACTCCAAAGAAAATACATTATTGGAATAATAATAAAAGATGGTGATTGCACAACTATGTAAAACTAGCCAAAGAGTAAATTATACTATATAGCACTACAATGAACTGTCACTCAAATATGGACAGTGTTAAACAAATAAAAAGAAGGATGTTTAAACAGACAGAAAACTCAAGTAATCAGAAAGCACAGAGCCAAGGCCAGATGTACTATCAATGTTCACAAAAGTCAAACATAATGCATGTCTCTGCCCCATTATTCAGCCCGGCTCCAGAATTAAACCGATTCTTCCTCGTCCCACACCACACCATTCCACCAGCTTTTGTGATCTTGCTAAAACAAACAAGAAAGGAAAACATAACCTCCTAATCAGCACTTAGACAGATGATGTCTGCTCATATCTGAAGTTTACAAAAATCCTTAACATGTAGCCATGTGTGTACCTCAGGAGATATTTCCTGATGTTACTTCTTTAATGTAGCCTCAGCTCCACAACACGCTCTGTGATCACTGTGATGCATTCTGCCAGTTGGTGATCTGGCTACAGCTAAAAGGGACATTACAACTATTTCACAGCTACTCATCCTCTGAATAGTCTGGTCTCTGGTAACCTCTCAAGTATATCTTTGTCAATGATTTTATTGTTAAATGAATCATTGACAAATAATAAAACCACATCTCTTAAAAGTAAAATAATAGTTGTTTATATGTTCTCAAAGTCCTTTGTTTACCTGCAATCAGTTAACCAGTAGTTTCCGAAGAGCAGTCATACATCATGAAATAAGTCGACAGTGGAATGATTAGGTTTTAGTGTTTCTTTGTAAGGCGGGTAAATTCAGACAGATTCAACTATGCCCTACATCGTTGAATATAAGAGTCAGATTCTCTTAATTAAATATTGTAAAATAGGTCTCTCTTAAATGCCTGAGAGCAAAAGAAGGTGAAATGTAAAAAATGATCATCAAAAATGCTTTAATCTCTCAGTGATTACATACTATAGCTCTTATGATCACTTGGCAAAAAAAGAAATGTGGAAATTGGAAGGACGATGATCTTTGACCACCATTTTGCACATCGACAACAGGAGGACAAATGTATCAAGCACTTTCTATTTCACTGCCCTCCTCTGGTTGTTTTTGCAGAACAGCTCATTGAAAAGGGGATAATGCATGCACTGTTACGGCTAATGTAATCATCTCGTGTGGGGTATGGTGGCCTTGACTTGAGAAATGCTGTTTTCTAAAGAATAAACAAAGCTTCAAACTGTTAATGCACCTTTTCAATCTGTTCCCTTCACTGTTTTTATTTTTGAAAAGTGGTCGTAAAATCTACATATTTTGAAAAAAAGGATGAGGACCTTTTGGGCAGTTTCAGACGAGAAGCACTTTTTTTTTATTGCAACAACACAGAATATTATTTCTGATTCCATATATGTTACAAAACTTGACTTCTATTGATTTAATGTAGAGATTTTCATTTCATGAAATTGTAAATCAGATTTTTCAGATTGCATTTTAATATCAGTTTTAGAAAATATTAAATCAGATTAGATTACAATTTATAATAATGTATGATATGTATATGTGTTACAGTTGAATGTAATATCTCATAAACCATCAACTACTTCATAGTATGAAATGTAATACTGCCTACTGTAACTGCTGCACATACTCTATATCTTAGCATAATTATATATAACCCTTTTTGTTCATTTTCTAAATATAATGTTTTTATATATTAGGCTACTCTGCACTTAACAGCTTCTTGCACCTCTAATAAGATGCTAACAATGAGTTTAATGTCTGGGTGCTGTGTTATCTAATATGTACTGTAGGATGTGCGAAAATAGGATTTTGAACACTTGAACAGTTCATATTCTGTCAGCTAAGATGTAAACTATGTTGTGAATGTAGATAATACTGAATTACTTAGCATTCAAACTTGTTAGCGCAGTTCAAAGTGCTTAACAGACTATGCTAATGGCGATAGAAAATGGATTCAAAAGCTACAATAACAGTAATTATACTAAAACAGAGTAAGCAATTGTTTAAAATATATATATTGGCAATAGGTGGATCTATACATGTTGGTGCAATCAAATACTACATAACTGCACCAAATTCTCCATTCAGGAATATTATATTGTTTGCAGGAGGTGTTATTTTTTACAATGTTTACTCATGTCGCAGATAGTGGTGGTGTTGAACTAGTCTGCTCTATTATGTTTCTTTATTCACCCCCCCCACCCTCTCTTCTTCTTCTTCTTCTTCTTCTTCTTCTTCTTCTTCTTCTTCTTCTTCTTTCTTCTTTCTTCTTTTCTTCTTCTTCTCAACATATTGAATATATTGTTGTCCAGTACATCAAAGCTGAAAGCTACATCCTTAATAATAATCATTAAATAAAAGAACACCTTTTTCCAGTGTCAAAACTGATTAAATGTTTAATGACAATGGCTGAACTGTTAAATTGGATTGCATTAGATTTTACCTTTCTTTATACAGTCTATGGATTTGATAATTTACCTTAGAAAGTGGCCACTGAGTGTATTTCAATTCATTTATTTTATTTATTTATTTAGTGCTTTTTTAGTCCGTAACGAATGTGGGTCATATTTAGCAGGCTTTGTGTTTACTACCATATCGCCACACACACGCAAACAACAAAACAACAGCTCTGTCTCAGAATGAATTGACCTCAGCTGTGACGTCATAGCGTATATATCATGTTATTCTCCGGAGAAAAGTAAATGGACCGCATTTAAAAATGTGTGTATTCAGCTCCCTGCTTGATGTGCCATCATCACTGTCCCTGTCATCCTCACACTGGCCCTCTCTGTCTCTCTTTCTCTCCCCCCTTCAACGCGATGCCGTGTACAAAAATCAGCTACAGCGGATTTCGTGTCCCTTGTTTCCTTATATGGTGATCAGCGTCGCGGGCCGACCCTCCTCGCGCTGTGAGCGAGGCGCGTGCACTGGCCGTTCACCGTTCACTTCCTTATTTGGAAGTGAGTCCAACAAAACCCGCAGGGAGGGGAGGGAAGAGAGAGGAGGGAGTGGGGAGAGAGGGGGATGGATGGCGGAGAATTTCCTCCCATCCTGAAAACCGCTTTGCGCCTGGCTGGCTGCTGAATGTCGGTTAAAACAGCAGCAGCACAATGGCTTTACTTATTAATCTCTCCTCACGCCATTGGTGTCATAATTAATAGGATTCATGTCCTTGACACCCGAAATTACACCGTAAATCACAGTAATGTCTACATTTAAACGTTGAGTGAAAATCATGGTTTATGTAGCTATTAATATATGCTACGATACAAAACAAAACAATAAGAGTAGCCTATAGCTGCTTTCAAAAGGTGTGGTCCGATTAACGGCATCATAATCCTTATCACAATTTTATAAATCCAACACTAATTCAGCACACTTACATCATCAGCTGTTATAAAGGAGTTGTTGGTTTATTCATAAACTACACATAAAAACACATATTCCCATCATTCTCTTCGCTAACCATTTGGTGCGTTTGATTTGCTCACCTATGCTGGCCGCCACCGCCAAAACAAATACATATAATAAAGGAAATAGCAAAGGAAATATGATAAATAAAATGAGAAGAAAACAGGCTTAAAATATTATTTATCTCATACGATTTTCGGTTGTGTAATGTTCAATACAAGTGGCAAAGAAAATATAAAAATGTATCTGAGAATATTTCTTGGAGGGATTATTGATGATTAGCTATATTTCCTGTTTATCAGTGTATGTCATATACTGAACTGAAGTAAATAAATAATAAATAATTAAGCCCTCCTTGTGTTATCACATGTAGCAAAATAGCAATTCATCAGTAAACACGTAGCAGCAAAAAAAAACGCCGGACAACCAGGGGTGACAGACATGCGCTCCTGTTCCTGCTCGTGCACTTTGCTCGGGTTTATAAGCGCGTTCACGTTGGGTATCCAGTGTGTGAGCGAGACCGACGATTCATCATCACAGTCCATTCAGTTTCCAGAGTGACGCTGACCTACTCAGAGCTTCACCATGGTATGTTCAACTGCGTCTTCATCTCTCTTTATGTACTATAGGAGCTTATACTGATCAATAGAGATGTATTCTCCAGATATGACGATGGTTGTGGTTATGTTTCTTATTTCATTTTTAGATGATGGTTTTGGGTTTAGCATCAAACGTAGCAAGCCGGTTCTGTGCCGCAGGAACTGCTGCTAGCGCTGGGGCTAGGCAGGAACAAGAGGCGGTGCGAGAGGCTTGACCGCCAACAAAGCTTTCATACAGCCGGGAAGAGCTGCCTTTTAACACTCTGTTGATTTTAATCTGCATTAGTTTATTGATGAGCGTGTTAAAACACCGGAAATATGAAAAAATGTCCAAAACAACTGGCGCCATTTAATCTCTCCGTGTTCCCCGGACACAAAGCGGCCGGGGCCTGCTCTGTGTTAACGGCTCACCGTTGTCATGACGCTGGTCTCGGTGTCTCCTGCATCATGTTTCCGTAACTTCACCTCCTCGAGGCTTCCTCTCAGAGCCGAGCTGGCAGGTGCAGCTGCGCCCCGGGGCTAACCTAGCTAACGGTACTGTTCGCTGAACTAGCTGCGTTAGCAGAGGCAGAGAATGACACCCATTATGGCTGGCGGTGTCTGAGATTTTCTTGTTCTTTGTCTGTACACGGCTCTCTAGTCAACATGTTTTTTTTAGACGCTGCTTGCCTGCTTGCTCCACATTAGCTCAGCATTCGCCCACAATGACACTACATGGGTCATTTGTAGGTTTGTGGCTGAGATGCTGTGTGACAGTTAATGTGTGAATTGACAAACGTTTGAGCAGAGCTTTGCCTTATATAGCAAGCTAGCGCACACACGTGCGTGTGCTGCATTCATGGCCCCACCCTGAATTTGGTGCAAAGACCATTTTGTTCGCTGATGTATTTTTAAGGGATCTGCCATAACTTTTAACTTCCTGCTGTATCCATATAAGATGTTGTCCATGTATCTATACGGATGTAGTACATATTTGACAGAATTGTGCCCATTATGTAAGGGCAGTGGGCAGTGTTGGATCCACTAGCTGAAGCTAACGGGCCGCTGTCTGTGGATCTTCATGGTCGGTATTGCGCATCTTATTTTAGTTGCGCATCTAATTTGTACAGTAGTTGAATACACACTGTAAGCCTGTCACTTCAATAAACTGCTTACCAAGAAGAAAACACAAACTGATGCAAATATTCTTTCAGACAAAACCATTAAACGTTCATTTATTTTATTTTTTTACAGCAAAAATATAAGAGATTCATTGTAACGAACACCTGTATTAAGTTAATGTATTTTCTTATTGTTAACAATCAGCTATTTCATTTTTTAAATTACTTTCATTATGCATTATAATAACCTGAACACTTTCCCTGTCAGTGCTATATATTTCTACTTTCATTTGTTCGCACTTGTATACATGTGAAAGTTAATGAAAATGTATAACATTGTACAAGAGAGGTTCAAATCCAAAAATGCGTGCCCTTATTTCATATCAATAGTCATACTTGGAAAAAGAGAGGAGATATATATATATATATATATATAGAAATAAATCATTAATCTAAGTGTGTATGTTTTGGAATAACTGTTATGTAGAGAAGCATGTACGTTGTTCCAAAGAATGTCTCCAACAATACAGTTGAAAAATAAACCAATTATCAGGCCTTTTGTTTTCTGGTTAAAATGGCTCCTATGAGGCCTATAATCCTAACTGTGTCTAAAGGAATTCTAGACTTGGATTGCGACTGTTTTATATTCACTTGAACCTTGACTTGTAAAGAGAAGTATTGGTGGTTAAGATTAGATAAGGCTGGATCTTAGTGATCGTGACTATGGGGAAATGATCTCGCTGCTACATCAATAGAAATAAACACAAGCTAAACAATTGTGGGAAATTATGCCAAAGCTAGGCTGCAGGAAGTAAAAAGTAGAAAACTTAAGTATTTTGAATTTACAGATGGTTGTGTACAGGAAAAAGAGGGCTGCAAATCATATGACCCCCCCCCCCAGGAGGAGTGCTGCGTGTCATGTGCTGTCTCGAATGCAGACTGTATAGACATTTGTAAACCTCAGCACATATTTTAGAGACAGACTTGGATATTTCTCATATCTTGGTTGCTGTTAATGCAAAGTACAACTTGTTTTATTGATGGAGTGCGATTAAGGAAGTGTGTAAGGTTGTTTGCTAGTTAATTATTACTCTGAAATGCCCCGTTATCTCATCC